TTACAAAGATTTTCAATTTGGATTTTTTCTCTTTACTCTAAGCGCTTAGCGAGCACATTAACCCCCCTCGACTAAAAGAATTTCAAAAATGCCTACAAACAACAATAAAAGATTAGTGCAAATTGTGAAATTTGTAATCTAGCATATTGACCGGCAGCTATGAAAAGACACTGCCAAAAAACAAAAAAAAAAAAAAAAAAAAAAAAAAAAAAAAAAAAAAAAAAAAAAAAAAAAAAAAAAAAATACAATGAAAAAGATTTTGTCGCTTATCCAAACGACGCTAGACACTTTGGTAAGACTTTAAAAGAGACTTCATCCCTTTATAGTAGAGATACGTTAATTAAATTGAATGAAGCGCACAAGAAACCCAGATGAATGAAACAAAACTTGTTCGCGAATACAGCATGGCACACACATTGGCGGGGCGTCTAGACACAAATCGCAAAGCTGGTGGATGCCTAGCAACAGTGATCGATATGGCCAACAGTAGCAGTAGTAGCAGTAGCAGCAGCAGCAGCAGCAGCGGCAACAACATTCCAGAAACAGACGCAAGTAACTACTTGAGCTTATTTGTATTTTTGTATATAAATATATAGAAATTAGCGGGCATTCATACATACATACATATATATGTATATATTTAGGCAGGTAGACATGAATGAGCTACCACTACCTCTTTCTTTTGCCGATTCTTTTGTGTTTTTTATTTGCTATTCCACATTTCTTATAAGCGAAACAATAGTGAAAACTATTTTAAAGATTAAAAATCGAATCGAATAGTTTTAAAACAATCACTTCTTCGTCATTGTCGTTATAGTCGAATCAACAGTAACGTGCCGTTCGCGCCTTTTCTTTGCTGTTTGGCGCCAGTTGAAAGCACCAAGCGGAACCAAGTTGCTCTCCACTAGATCCTTCCAACAGAGTGATCTTACCTTTTTTCTGCTTCCACCGGCGGGTACCGCATCGAATACTTTCAAAGCTGAATCACGTGACATAGTCAACGTAGCTGTTTCTTTATTCGCTGAAGTATGGCAATATCACCGTATAGCACACACAGCTCATCGTTCCATTGTCTGCGGTATTCATCGTAACCAAATTTTGTAAATCGTTCGCAAAACTTTTATCACAAAGTCCACCAAAGCTGGCTCATCGGATGTCGACATCGTCTAGGCTTCTGCACCCAATAGTAGGATGATAATGTGTGGGTACATTATCACCTGGATAAAAAAAAGATAATATTGCGCACGCAATGGGACAGCATCGTTTACGCTGTTATATAATGGGTGCTTTGTAACCAAAGAAGCGATTTTTGGTAGAGCTCCTCCTCCGATTTGTGGTGTTATACGGCTTAATGTTTTCCCAACAAATGGAGAGACCCACAGTTTATACTAAGCCGCCTCCGATCGGCTGTTGGTTATTTTATGATAAGCTTTATTTCATGTCAGAAATACACTCGGAGGGGTTCATTCTGTGTCGAGGGGAAACCGCAATTAGAAAATTTAACATAATTTTTTATTTAAATTAATTTTCTATACAATCATGCCAATGAATGATTGTCGATGCTAATTCCTATATAGACGAAACTGTTCTCCGAGATTTCAAAATAAGGACCGTCAACAAAGGCGTGGGTGCCCAAAAATAAGTGTGCTGATTATTTGTTTGATGACAAGAGGCATTTAATCTCATCCTTATTCATTACCAGACCCATTTGTTTCGGTTCCAAATAAGTTTATGCTGATCCCGAATTCAGACGTAATGTCGTAGCAGCAGCTCCTTCCACTTCGTGCAATCGAAGGTTGTGTCGATCTTATTCTCACAAGTGCTTGATGATGGATTTACTAAGTCTGAAGCCACACTCGTTAGTCAGTTAGTTGACGATGAGTTACATATTTTTATACAGTACGCCAATGGAATCATTATACTCGTATACAGTACGCTACAGGTTCTTAAAGACAGAGCAGATTTAGACTCCAGTCGTACGGTGTGATTTCCATCGTCATCGGCTGCCACAGCTTTATTTTTCAGGGCTGCAACTACCTACTAAAATTTCTGTGTGAACAAAAAAGAGAGTCAACTCGAGTCTATTCAATTAATGACGAAGGAATAGAGTTTTAATCACCTGACATAGATGGAGTTCGAATAGCAAATGTATGCAGCTATATTGTAGTGTGAGTGTTGTTGTTTTTCCAACACTTGGAGTTTATGCTAAGCGGCTTCCGAACAGCTGATGTTTTGTTATGAAATTTAGAAAGCAAATTTATTTTATTTATAATTTGGATGTTGAAATTCATGACACTCTACATGGTATCAGGTACTACTAACCACTCGGTCACTCACAATTTTCAAAAGAACTCCCATAAATGTATGGAATTCCAATTTATTATTGGATACATTCGCTACCAGGAATTTTTCTCTTTTTTGTCAATGAATTTTACTATGTGTGTATATGTGCATACAAATGTATGTATACGGGTAACTGTGACTTTTCTGGCATCACATATTTATACCATGAGTCTTTGTGACTTTCCGGAAATACCAAGAGTGAGATGTGTACATATGTACACACATACATATGTGTACGGCATATAGAATTGGCGCTTTGTAATTGCTTTGTGTTGTGCGTCTTGATGTTTTTTTGACCTACAGTTTTTTCTAATCCGCCTCCAAAAGACTGATTACGAGCAGCATTTATTTCATGACAAAAATACACTTGGATGGAGGGCACGACAATCCCAGCCGAGTTAGCAGTGTTAGGCATTAGTTGATGAAATTTTTAGTGCCATCTTTAACACCAAAAGGAAACCTATGTAATAATGTTATTTACTATATTGCAGATTAGATTTCTAACGATTTACAATCGATCTGTCCATACATCTCTCAAATCTATTAAATTGGCTTTCTCCTTTAAACGGTTTGTACCGCAAAACTACCTTCGTTATACGGTCTCAAAAAAGCTGAAGGCGCGGGATTTGAGGCCGATGATGTTAGTCTCGTCGACATACGCCAACAAGTATGCACTGCTATAGAGCTTGTACCTTCTCTGTGTGACACTGCAGCTCGAATCATTTGCCCTAGCATTCAATCACACGATAATGGGTTACGTTGTCTAAAACCTCGTTTGATGTCGAATTGTTCGGGGAGATCCTTCCCGATCTAGCTGTAGGTTTTGGTGTTGCTCAATGTCAGTTAGCATAGCTATATGAGTTTTATAGGGATACAAAATTCATACCGAGAGGCATTTATTTGTGCCCCCTGCTTTACAATCGATGAAGAGGGGGTGACTGCCGTTCCTTTTTTCGAGCGTTTTGCCCGAAATTTGACGCATGGTGAATATCTTTTATGTGGTTTATTTGCCAGTATGAAGTCCCATTGAGAAAATCCAATAAGTTCAATGAGCTTTGGTCATTTACAAAAAAAGTACGAAATAACCTTATAGAGTAGGATACCAGGATAATTGGGATAGATTGTAGTGTCTGCTTTTCCGTCAATTTGGCAGAGCACAATTAAGTTGCAAAGGTCAGGCTGATGAGGGTACTGCGCCGCCATATCAACCGGTAAAACGTGACAGTCCTTGGACGGGTTAAAATCCGGGTCGTTCGGGTGAGAAACTCCGAATGCTGCGTTAACTATTGTATTTTATTCGCCTCTTACGTCAGGCATGCCTTACCGCGGTTAAATTCTTGAGCCTCTAACCTTCAGGTTGAAGGCAAACCGTCAGCAAGTTCCGCTTTGTTGTCTTCGCCATAATTGGGAAATGGAATGTTTATGCCATGGTTATCAATTGAGAATTCGAATTCACAACCGCCGGGTGGAGAAATGTTCTCTACATAAACTCGTTTATTCTGAAGATCGGTCATTAGATTTGGTCTTTGAGTTCTGCAGGATAATGTCCGGGTCTTGAAGTCTTAGAATTTTTGTGCATTACCCCTGTTGACCTGATTCCCAAATTTTTCATGCATAAGCAGCTCAGCCTCTGTTTTAGTCAACCAATTTACGACAATCCTCATCATGCCGGTTTTTCTTTCGTCTTTGTTAAAAACTAATAGTCTAGTTGGCGCCAGTAAGTAGATGAGGCCGATAATAAAGTTGCATTCGGGAAATCATCAGTTATATAAGAGCGATAGCCAACAGCACAGCATATTCAGTTGAGCTTGAAGCTCGGTATGGACAACATCAGTGTGAATTAAGCGGAATAAAATGTGTTCTTATAAGAGAATAAACAAGATGCTTACAATAAAGAAGCTGAAAAATAAATCTTTGCACGATCCAGTGATCGAATTCGAGAGATTTAAGAGGCTATTAGTGAAAATCGTTACAATGAAAAAAATATAATGTAACAGTATGAAATGAATTATATGTTATTTGCCTCCTTCTTCACAGTAAAGACCACGTTAGACTACATGAAAGAAGGGAGGTGTCCCGGAAGGCCTAAATGCAACCCATGGCTCATAAGACAGTTGAGAAAGCGTAAAAAAATAGGCAAACATAACTATGAAACCCCAAATCCGAGAAAAGGCAAGGAGAAACATTTATAAATTTTGTTTTTGAATAAAAATTTACTAAATAACTGTTTTACTTGATATTGTTTTTGCGATTGCTACTCCTGTTAGGCGATTTGTGAATACTGCATTGAAAACCAGCTGATATTCTGAAAGGGTTGCCAAGTCTAAAGGTACTCATATTTGTTTTTGGGTTGCTGTGCATCTATATAATTTCTATGCAGATCATTTGGAAGCAGACTAATATCTTATATAATTTTGACTGTTCATCTATTTAAAAAAAAATGGTTTTTGATTTTGTTTAAAAAAATTCACCTTAAATTATACTAATTTCAACAGGTATTTGAGTATTTGATGTTTAGCCAAAATTTAAGGCAATAAAACTTCAATACTCTCCGAATCGACTCTGTGTTTAATGAAAACAAACAACATAATTTTCAGTTTCTCCCATTTGGTGCGGAGAAGATAATAACATAAAATTTGGTAAAAAATTGTGTTTTTTGAAAATGAACTTTGATTTTTAGCAACATTTGAAGTGTATTAGACATTTTTTTTTTGATTCATGTAAACAATTATTTAGTCAGCGCATTGCTGATGTAAACGTTTGCAAAAACCATATGTACGGGTTGTTTGTGTTCGAATCAATTTGTAGCATCTCTTACCTACAAGTGTTTACACATCCAAACACACCTCCCCAATCCACCCACAAGTTAATCAAAAAAATATACAACACGCATTTATTTGCGACGCAGCAGTAATACGTTTGTTGATGGCTTCGAATTCGCTTGTTGGAAAGATTGTGGTCGTCGTTGCACTCGCATTATTTCTCTACTATTTCTTTTGGGTATCCATATTGCCGTTTATGTTAATTGACGAAGGTAAGGGGAGCAACGTCATATTAATAAGATAACCAAAGACTTACACCGGTCCTTTTGTACATCAATTAGATTGAATAGAAGAATATTAATCATGCCATGCTTTGTGAGGGGATCACATACTGTGTGTAGAACGGAAAAAATATACCTAGCATTCGTGGTTAATTTTAATTTAATCGAAAGTACGAAAAACTTTAAATAAATAAGGTAAAATTAAATTAAAACGTGCTAAATTACTAGTGATCGATATTCTGTTCCTCCTAGAAAGTGACTCCTTTTTTTTTTTGTTTCAATAATGTGTGCCGTCTTAAAAAAGATACCTCCAATCATATGTTAATTTAAGCGACTTTAACTTTTATAAGTCGTGCAGTTTCAGCTGTCATTTTTCATCAACTCCCATTCACCTACCTTTAGCCGTGGAGCAGTAAAAGAGCAAAGTGAAAAGTGTATGATTAAAAACTCCTTGCAAACGCAAGTGTGCGTATAAGGCCAAACGCAAACATGCACATATATTTGTTTATAATTTTACCAAGCACGTGTAGGATTATTTGGTAGACAAACCTATATTTAAAATTCATTTTCTTTTATTTCCAGGAAACATAATACATTCGCTATTTCCGCCGCTTGAATATGCCTTCATATTTCCGGCAGTGTTCGGTGTGATTTTTCTTGGTGGCATTTCAATTTACACTTTGTATCATATATGGGATCACATTTGGGAGCGGAAAACTATATAAAATCGTGCGTCATTACATTCTAATCATATACGATTTACTATAATATACAAGTTTATAACAATAACGTACGAAATTTTCGAGCGTCAAGTTCATAAGGTTATCTAACTTTAACACAACACTTGTCGGCCACACTTTATCAGTTTCGATTGCACATTTCAATATTTGTGTAATACCTGCAGTAAGTGTTTTTAACTCGCTAATAAGTACAAACGAGCAATCATCAATATGCCACCTTGGTTGGTAATAGGTGTTTCGGGAGTTACATGCGGTGGTAAGACCACACTAGCACACCGGCTACGTGATTACTTTAAACAAGTACGTGGCGCACCACTATGGAATACACCATATGTTGTTGGTGATGTGCAGCTACTATCACAGGATGATTATTTCCTACCAGTGGACGATATGCGACATAAGTGGAATGAAAAATTAAATGCGATAAATTTTGAGTTACTAAGCTCATTGGATATGAAACAAATGCTAGCAGATGTAACATGGACAATGAATGGCGGTTATTCAGGTGGTGATACAATGGAAAATATTGAGTATATCAATGAAATGTCTATGTCAACTAATTTCGAACATTATGCCCAACCACTTACACAACAAATTTACCAAACGAATCACTATAAAGGACAACAATGTGGTTTAGCTGCACGGCATCAAAATCATATGCAAATGAAACATAACGCATATCCTCACCAACATGGCCAACAACATCACCATAACGCACACATACATACGACAAATACAAATGGAGGACATTCTACGCATATAATGCGTATCAATTCGCAATTGGCCGCACATATGCGTGACAACAAAATCAATTTGCTTATCATTGAAGGCTTTACCATATTCAATCAGCCGGAACTGTTGACATTGTGTAATATAAAATTCCATTTCCATTTGCCATATGAAAAATGCTATGAACGCCGACAGAAGCGCAGTTACGATCCACCCGATGTAACAGGCTATTTTGAAATTTGTGTTTGGCCACATTATGAAAAGAACTTTAATGAAATACGCGATCGACAGGATGTAACATTTCTAAATGGTGAATTGAGTAAAGAGCGTATTTTTAAGTTTGTGTTGCAAAAAATTGGCAATTATTTTGAGGAACGCTGTGATGTAGCCTGCCCGCCACCACAAAAATTGCTGGGCATACCGAGTTGTATGGCATCGGAAAGTTGTGGTGCTGGTGGTAGTACTCGTTTAATGACCGGTATAAGTGGTACGACATCCTCAAAAATCTGTCCAATGGAACAACAGTAAACTGGTGTTGGATTTATTGTAAAACTATTCACAATTTTATATACTTTTTAAGATTTTTCTAATTGTACGTTGTAAGTAAGAGTAATTATACCAGTTTATTCTTTAGTTTTAAGAAAGTTGAAGTCTATTTGAGTCTATAATTCATAAAACAGAAAAAATATACGTATTGAATATGTATGTATGTATACTAAAAATGAACCATTCGTACCTTTTACTCACACTGTAAATATGCGTACAAAAATAACTTAATGAATAAAAGTAAACAAAAAAAAAATAAAAAATGTGTCAAGAATTGTATTTTTAAACTGCTTTTGAATTAACTTTTCTTATTTCTTAATATTCTGATCATACATTGATATTTAGAAAAAAAAATATAAATAATAATAATCTTCAAAGCACCTAGAACATGCAACCATCCATCAAACTTCAGATTCCAGTTGAAATTACTAATTTTACGCTATCTTTGTATGTTTTTTGGCCTTAGAAAATTTCGTGTATCACAATAAAAAATTCACTGCAATTTACTTGTTTGCGTTAATAGTGTTTTTCTATTTATTAAAATTACATCAAGTTCGTTTGTATATATATTTATAATTTTATTTTCAGTTTATTGGTTCGCTACACTTGAATGCTTTGCCCATACATTTGGGAATTGTTTTCTTACGTTTTTTGTTTATTGTATAAAGTAAACATACTACAATGGTTTTCAATTTCAATGCATGCCATTACAAACGTATATATGTATGTATATGTATTTATTAACATGATTTTTAGTATCTACTAAATGAAGTGTTTTCAGTTTACATTATGGGGTGACTACGACTTACATAAGTATTAACTGTTTTTTTTCTTCTCTTTTTTTATAGTTAAGTTTTTAGTTTAATCCATATTATTTTGATAATTATTGTTTATAAGTATGCATGTGTGTATAAACATTTATTGTTGTTGTTTTATATGCGTGTCTCGCGCATAAATTCTATAAATTTTCATAACTTCGCGGAGTCGGTGTACCAAAATTGAAAATTAACACGGTTTCATGCTGTTGAAAATATTGGCGTAATTGCTTTTCCATTTTATTTGCATGAGTATATTTAAAACTATTGCTTTTTTAACTTTGCAATTATTAATTTTGCATTTTTGAATTACAAAAATTCACGATTTACGAGTTTTTCTTCTTTATTTTTGTTTGTGGTTCACATGGAAAATAAAATATTCGATTACTGCGTGCACTTACATTTTAAATGCATATGTATGTTTGAATGCTGCTTTTGTGTAATGGTCCTTAAGTTTTGTCTACATCTTTGTAATACAAATTTTTAGCATTAACACTACTCAGAACTTTTTAATTTTCGTTTGCCCTCTCACAGCGCATCCCAGTCAATTTGATTATTGTAAACTTCTTCCTCCAACCATACAGCATAGTTTTCCTTGAAGTAGTCGGTCAATTCTACTTTGCGATCCCACCAGCCCGAGTGTCCGAAGAACGCAAAATCTGAATGCGAGAGTATTTCATCGCTTGGGAAACCACCTTCAACACCATAATCATTTAGTTGCGCATGCCCATTGCCACCACCGCCGTTACTGGCGCCGCAGAAACCGTTCCCATCGTTACCGCCGCCCATATTGTTGCCACCACCGCCAGTACTACCACCTATATTACCGCCCGAGTTATCCGAATTTCCGGAATTACCATTATTTCCGCCAGCACCACATTTTTGTGTAGCTTCCGGATAACGTCGCAAATTGAAACGATCTACGCAGGCACGTAGCGTGCACTCCTCAGCCTGAAAATCCCATGGACGAGATTCCAAGTCATTTCCAAAAGCCCAGTCATCGTTCAGACGATGGCGAACCTTTGCATAAATTGCACTCATGGTCTTCATATTCGATTTACGCCATTGGCGACCCAAATATTTTGTTTGCATTTTAAGCAGCTTCAATACATATAACTGCATCATGGCATGACGTACCTTAAGTGTTTTCTTAAGTATGGGCGCTGACTTGAAAACCACCAACATCATAACGCGCGAATGTTTCCACTTAATCAATTTATTAAGTATACGTAAGAGATTAATACAGGAGAAAACGTTGCGCCATGAGTAGTAAGGCTTGTCGGCAACTTCGCCACTATAAACAAAACTTTCGCCCGACAGATCGGGCTGTTCGCCAATTACACAAGATGGGAAATCCAAAAGTGGTATGGTGTTTTTCATGCCCACGTATTCAGTTATGGTTTGGTTGAAGAATTTTAGCACCAAAGGTATGCAATTGGCGAAGACAAGATGTTGTGACATAAATTCAAACTGGTAAATGTGATTAATTTTGAAATGTTTCAAATAAAGTAATATAATTGCGGATACTGCTTTTACTATTATCTCTTTATGTCTACTCATATCAACAGTCAATTTTTGCGAGTCGGTTATTGGCATTTTTTTCGGTAGTACATCAGCCATTATATTAATACTTTCCGTTTTCGATTTGGAAGTGGGCGATGCGGCCAATAACACTTTCAGTAATGCAATCATATATTGCGGCAAATTTGGCAGTATTGCCTGATAAAGTACTTCGGCGGGGTTCAAAGGAATTTCGTCCTCTTGCGTAGAGATCGGATTCCGTGCAATTTCCTCCTCTTTTTTTATTTGCACATCAGCTAAGCTGACGTACATGTGGCGTCTCAAAGTCTGTACACCCTCATGTATTGGCTGCGGCAGACCAGCGAGACTCTCGTGATCATCAATTAGGGAGTAGCCGATAAATTTATTTCGCGAAATATCCAAGAATTGATCAATATCCTTTTGACGCACTTTCGGTGTCCACGGCAAACGTGTTGTAACCGGTGCAGGTAGTACAGGTGGTGGCTGTGTAAAGCTTGGTTGATTATTTGGGTTGGCGGTGTTTGCAGAAGGGTCCTCGAACTGACGGTAAAACTGCGAAATATCTTCCTCTTGATTACCATTTCCCCCATTATTCCCTGATGGCCCACTTTCATTTCCTGCTGTTAACTCCATATCCATTTGCTCTTGCTCATCTAGAAAACGTTGTTTCATCAAGGAACGGCTAAAATTGGAGAAATATGTTTAAATGTAATGGTGTAAAAAGAAAGTATATAACAAACCGAAATGCGTTCCGCTTCGGGTTCTGGTTATCCAAAATATCAGTAGCAGTTGCCGGAGGAGAGCTAGCACGCATATTTTTTGTTACCTCCAGTGTATCCTCAGTAACAGGTTCGAGCCCGGCTTTAATGCGATATTCATTTTTAATGTTTTTCAGCTTTTCCATACCGCCCAATCCCAGCAAAGTTATTTTCCATAGCAATAGCACCACCTTCTTCATTGGAAAATGTGGTGCTGCACCACTGCAAAAACGCGTTATCATGCCTAAAAGCTTAACTGCAAGCAATTCACCGTCCGGTAGTGGACTATTTATCTCTTGTATGAAGGCTTCAGCAATATTTTTGTAATCCTCACTACCTTTGTCGTACTCATCACGGATAGTTTCCGTAATTATATACAAGACCGACAGTATGACACGGAGATCAGTCGAGTCTACCAAAGTGACATTAGTGATTTTAACCGCTACTATATCGGGTGAACATGCACTTTCAATTTCCATATTGAGTAAGTCTATGAACGACGAAAACACACCCAATTCATATAACACTATGATATTGTCCCGAGTAATCTGATGTTGCTCTTCGTCCGATTGTACCTCAGCCCAGCAACCCTGTGCCAAATACAGAATGCAACGTGCAGCTTGCATACGAAAAGCTCTACTTGAAACTTCAAGTTGATCAATTAATTTCATTATAATGCTCCGCTGCGATGAGGCATTTTGTTTTTGCCAATTTGGTGGCAAATCATACATTTCCATTTGATCTTCGAATGCTTTAACATTTTGTTGCAATTCATTAAATTCCGTATAACTATAAAGTTCTGCAATTTCATTTTGATATGAATCTACATCGGCATACACAAAATCCAAATCCGGTCCGTCACAATTCCCGTCCACATCGTGCGTGTCTTGCTCGAAAGAGTTGTTTATCGATGACAACATCATTTGGCAAACTTTTCCGGCGTTGCCGACACACCACTCCCAAAATATACCCTTGATTCGTGATTGAATTGCAGTTTATATACTTTAATCCGAAATGATTATGGTACCGATGCAATTAGAAAAAAAATATTTTCTAAAATTATATAGATAAATTAACATATATGTAAATACCAGTTATGAAAACACAAATTTCTATCACAGCAAAAAAAAACTTTTATTTATGGTTCCAAATGTTAGATGTATCCAAATGTTGTTGTTGCTATTAAGACGGCCAATGGATTTTCTCTTGCTGGGGTTTGCTGGCCCAAGCAACTTAGTGAGACCAAGTTACGATTTTCTTCTGCATTTCAAATATATGTTTTCATTGTAATTTACACACCACCAGATAATATTTTTCTTAAATATTTTGAGTGTTTTTGCTGGAATATACAAAAATAAAATTTCCTTTTCTGAGACAATTTTTTGTCGGTATGACGGAAAATTTTCTTTGACAATCGATACGTTCCACAGAAGCAATGTTTTGAATTAAAGCAATATTCAAAGGGTAAAAATTTGCCCTGATGATGTCAAACATAAGAGTTTGTTCTATATTTAAGAGTAATAAATAATATCTTTGGTAAAACTAATTATTGTGTATGTAAATTTATATATTTTTAAATGTGTCAAGTGATTTATTGTGATATTATTTTGTTTCTAATTATTAAAATTATTGCCCACAAATTTATGTGCAACCCAGAAAATAACTATCTCCCTCGTGGAACTAAAAAACAGCTGATCGAACGATGACAAGGCCAAACACAATTTGGGTGGTATAGTAAAAGCATCTTATTTTTAATTGTGCCGGTTGGATTTCACTTTTTAATTGAAGATAACAAATATAAGTAAGAAAATAAACTTGCATTGTTTATATATTACGTAGCTAGTAAAAACTTATTTAATTTTTAACAGAACAATGTGATTTAAAAATTTTGGTGTACGAACACTATATAAGTAAAGTGGAATATGAACTTTGTACCGGTCAATTGGAAAAAATTATTCTCATTATATATATATATTTTTATTTGGTTTAATTGAAGTTAATATGTGTGTACTGATTTCGAGCTGGATGGAGATCTAAAATCCAGTGCTTTATAGTATATATTTTTGCCATATAAGTTGTTGCTTAATATAAAAATTAGTACAAAAACTTATACTATATACATAGGTACATAACAAATATTTCACAATCCTATGGCTAGTTTGCTGCATTTTTTTATCGGAGCTCTGGTTACGGCCTTCGGAACATATTATTACTACAATCATCACATACAAGTAAATAAAAATGTTAAATTGATATTTTAACTTTGGAAATTCGTATATTTAAATACTTAAACATGCATATAAACATATGCTTGGGAATACCTACATACATACATACATATGTGCATACATACTCTTTCAGGTTTATGAATTTGCTTCGTCATGTCGGTTGCACAAATAAGTAATTTAATTGGTTGAAATCCTTTTCCGAATTCCTTAGTTTGAAATTATTGCAAATAGTTCCAATTCAATTTATTTTAAATAACCTTATAATGTATGTTATACTCAAGAGAATTAGTACATATGTGAAAAAGTATGTACATAAATATATGTATGTATGCCTATCCCAAAATTTGGCAAAACAGCTCACTAATTAATTTTTAAAATTTTCTAAAACAAGCGCTATGTGCCATTAAAAAAAATAATAGTGTTGATTATACAAATACTAGAGGAGCTAACGCGCAAATTTTATATCCCTACTGAATTTAGTAGGAGTGCCTAATTGTAGGTGAATGAAGTAGGCAATCCTATTAGGGATACCACATGTATGTGTATGTACACTGCGCGACAACCGATTAGCCCACTCTCTAACCTATCAGTTTAAAGGAAAATAACTCCCTACTCTGAATATGTTTCATGCGAATTCTATTTTTCCTTTTATTCTGTATCATTTTCGCTCATTCTAAGTATAACTGTGAGCTCTGGAAGTGTTCCGTTATTTTGCTTTTTTTCTTTGAAGTGCGACAAAAATGCATGCGTGTTTTTTGCGACAGCCGATTAGCACATTTTCGCTTTCATGTCACTTTTTGCGTGTAAGCTGCCTTGATTGGGTGTTTAAGTTTATTATTTATTTATTTGGACTAATTATCAATAAAATAAAGTAATAATGGGCAAAGGAAAACCGTTGGACGAGTCTGAAAAACGCAAAATAAAGGCTTACCGGGAGTGCGGGCACTCTATTCTTCAAATATCAAAAAATATTGAGCGCAGCCGTAAATTTATTACCGCATATTTAGGCAATGAGGATACATATGGGAAAAACATGAAAGGTCGGCCATCATCAGTAATAAGAGCAGCTGACAAGCGAATCATACTACGACACGCATCTAATTCCCTTGACTCAGCCGCCAAAGTGAAGGAAAAAACTGGTGTTAAAGCGTGCGTTCGGACTGTGGAAAGAGTTTTTTCGAACGCTGAATATATGACTAAATTTCTGTCGATCAAATATGACCTGCACTAAGGAGTGGGAGCATGTAGTCTTTTCAGATGAAAAAAGTTCAATTTGGAGGGTCCTGACGGCTATGCTTACTACTCTCATTATCTCAGAAAGGAAGAGCATACTTTAGATCGATTACACAGCCGTGCGGGTGGTGTCATGGTGTGGGGAGCTTTAACATATTTTGGCACTATAGAACTGCAGTTTCTTACCAGCCGTATGAATGCCATTGCGCACAAAGGTATACTGAATACGGCTTTCCCTGCAATCAAGGATATTTTTGGACCCTTGAAATGGAAGTTCCAGTAGGACAACGCACCTATCCACACAGCCAGGATTGTAAAGTCCTGGATTGATGGTCAAATGGTGGAATTACTGACTTGGCCGCCATACTCTCCCGACCTGAACATTATTGAAAATGTTTGGGGATGGCTGGCACGAAAAGTGTACGAGTCCGGCAGGCAGTATTCAACTGAAGCAGAACTCATTGAAGGAATAAAAAGGTCCTGGGAGGCTGTTTCACTCAATTATATAAAAAAAATTGTATGACTCCTTACCTGAGCGGATGTACGAAGTCATACTTAACCATGGAGGCTCAACACATCATTAATTTGTGTTCAAAAAAAGTTTAAAATATTAAAATTAATGCTAAAAACAATTTGAATGAAGTTTGAAGCCATTTTCTTTTGTTATCTTAAGTTTTCAAGTGACTGTGCTAATCGGCTGTCGCAAAAATAATAGTGAATTTTGTATGTTATGTTTGTTTACCTTAATTTAAAATGTTATTAGAAAAGTTAGTATCCGATCTTCTATTAATTTTCGTGTGAAATTATATATTCTTTTAAGGGGAAAAAATTTATTTGAAAAGCTATTTTAGTTTTCCTGATATTAAGTTTCTAAGACGAGCACCATAGGGTGTGCTATTTGGTTGTCACGCAGTGTACATACGGTCTTCAACTTATTCCCAATCTATTAGGAAACATTTGGACACAAACACAATTTTTTACATATCTTATCAATTGAGAAATAAAACGATAATTCGAAAACTTACCTACTCATGTATTACACATACATACACATATATACCTTTGCATTGTCATCACCTCATAACAGGTGTGAAGGTGCTTATCGAAATTGAATTACTCAGCGCCGCCCGTTCCCAGAGGGGATTCCACAGCAGACTAAACAGCGCATCTATAGAAGTATTATATGGGAATTTTTCGAATAGAATTCTAAACGATAACTTAAACGTAATGTTTGAGAAATAATTTTCGAATGTTGCATTCGCAATATAGTTAATTTACATATGCTCCAATTATAAGTAAGGAAAAGGATATATTATTTAAGCTTGTTTTGAATGTTTTTCAAATCCATATATGTTATAATGCGACTTTCAAATGATCAGCAAAGTGAAACGGCTAAAGTACCTATTGTTTGCAATGCAAATCACCTACTTATGGTTCATATCAGATAACCGATTATCTGCTCTGTTCTGCGGCTTCCCATCCCTGCTCTCTTTAGCGGTATGCGATTGGCTAGTGATAGTGAGTTACATTTGAATCCTGCATACTTTCAGTAGAGGATTGACTGAAAAATTTATAGGCAGAATTAAGTTTGAAGTTCTAGTTATATGCATAATCATAATTGTTTTTGCGGCCATACTATTAATTTTTTTTTTGTTAATTTATTATTATATCTGTACATTTCTTCCAATTACAGTAGCAATGTATTATAATAACTTTCTTAAAATCGGCAACTTAACTGCAAGTAACAGCTTCAGTTCTATCAAATTTTTGCGGTATACCAAAATTCAACAACAACAACAGCAACTGCGCTGTTTCAGTCAGTTTAGTTTAATACAAAAATCAACAAGTCAAAAACCAACATTTAATAAATCAAATTTCGCAAATAACAAACGATTGTGTTTAGTTTTATTGCCTCTCACTGGAGTTAGCTGCGCAGCTGCCTCACAACTTGCGAAAACTGATAGTGCACCGTCATCGTCTACCGGTAATCAACGTCCAGCTGTCGATGATGTGAGTAATCGCTCGTCAAAAAAAAAAAAAGCACACTGAAACAAACATTCTGCCACGCATTTTAAATGCCTTTCTTCGACTAATATCATACAATACATACACATGCAACTAGCATTTGCTAATTCATATATACCGACATCTATATGTTCATATATGTGTCTACTTGAACTCTGTCCTTTGCTTCTAGTTATTTATGTCGCAAATTGCTCTTTATCCTCAATAAGTACTGCGAAGAAACTTTCTTTTCTATGCTGGTTCATAATGACATGACATTTTTTTCCAATTTTAATCGAAATTTTTTACTGTGTATTAATTACTTTACGTGCCTATTTTTAAACGCAGCAACGTTCCAGCTAACGCCTGTCAAGTCGGTTTGAGCAGTCATAAGCAACCACCACACATGTCCGATTGATATTTAACTGTCTTCATTAAATATTAACGCCCAACAAGGTGGATGTATGTACATGTGTATGTATGGTTACATTTGAAGTCACAATATTTTGTTATCAAATGTTCGTTCCCATACATATACCTACCCTTCTAATACATTAGTATTTGCCTTTGTTGAGTTGTTGGTTTACCACTTAACTGATGTATTTCGATATGTATGTATGTGCATATTTAATATTCATATAATAGCTAACAATTTAATGCTAACTTACATTGCTGCTTTTAATTCTAACATTAGTTTTATTTTAGCCTTTGGACGGTACACTCAGATTATACACTCTCTTGTTTTTACCGCATTTTCAGATCGACAGCAGCAATATGTCCGGTCCAGATCCAAAAGCCGCTCAATCAATTTATGAATTCACTGTCAAGGATACGCATGGCAATGATGTGTCATTAGATAAGTACAAAGGGAATGTCGTGTTGGTCGTAAACATTGCATCGAAATGTGGTTTAACCAAAAACAATTACGCCAAGTTGACTGAATTGTTGGAAAAATACGAATCGCGCGGTCTACGCATTTTGAATTTCCCATGCAATCAGTTCAACTCACAGATGCCTGAAGCGGATGGTGAAGCAATGGTATGCCATTTGCGTGATGCTAAGGCAAATATTGGCGACGTATTCCAGAAGGTATGTTCATCAATATCATTCGATACCTACTTTAATATAATACATAGTATATATGTATATTTTTATGTGTGTCAGCTGCTTTACGTATGAGAAAATCGATAGAAGAAAAAAAATTGAAGTACAATTTTAATTTTAAAGTAAAGACAAGAAAGAAAAGCTGTATTGCATGCTGAAGTATATAAAACATTCTTAATCATATAAAATTTATGGTATTTCATTTTAGTATTAAATATTAATTCTGAAATCTGAAAAATTGGTTGGATATAACCCGATTTCGATGATTTTCGGTGTCATTCTTTTATATCAGGTGTACATCTTTGATTCCGCCGTTTTTTTCCCAAAATTAAAAGCTTTATTGCGAATAAGTGCTTACAGATATATTATTCAAAGTACTGTCCTTCGCTAGCGACAAATTTCGGGTCCCGGGTCGAAAAAAGGAGTCCTCTTTTGACGCTATCCATGAAGCAATCCATTTTTTCAATTCTTCGAAGGATTGAAAATGTTGATCTGCCAGGCCGTGTGCCATCGAACGGAATAAGTGGAAGTCAGAAGGGGCGACATCTGGGGAATACGACGGGTGGGGCAAGACTTCCCATTTCAGCGTTTCCAGGCACTTTTGACCACTTTTGCGACGTGAAGCCGAGCATTGTCGTGTTGGATGATGACTTTGTCATGTCGCTCTTGATATTGTGGCCGCTTTTCTTTTATCGCGCGACTAAGGCGCATCAGTTGCGTTCGGTAGCGATCTCCTGTGATGGTTTCACCCGGTTTTAACAGCTCGTAGTTAATCACATCTCATCTTTGAAGGTTTTTTCTCTTCCACCAACATGTTTGTCTTCGACATCGAAATCACCATTTTTAAAACGTTGAAACCACTCCCGACACGTTCTTTCACTCAGAGCAGCATCACCGTAAGTTTCTGAGAGCGTTCGATGCGCTTCAGCTTCATGCTTAAAAGCATCTATGTATTTCAACCAGCTTCAGCCGGTGCAGCCGCCTATCGGAAAACGGCGGAAGCAAAGTTGTACACCTGATATCTGTATATGTGTGTAGAGTTTTGGTACTCGCAGGCTTTATTTTTTTACGGATGTTTTATTCAAACCGTATTCCGGAAAAAATCGATTGTATGTGATTTCGATGATTTTCGGCGTTAACGTTTATTTATGTAAAAGTCAAAGAAAATATCATCGGATATTGCTCCCTGACCCTCCGTCCAATAGATTGACAATGAGGTAAATTGCTGTTGTTAGCTTCATTCCGGCAGATCGAAAAGCGCAACTGCGTACGCCAAGGAGATACCCTAATCAGGGAACTTCATTTGAATATTTGACTATTTGTGAATTGTCATAAGCGCAACGCTTAAGGTTCTGCAACTACTCCTTTGGCACTAGCTGTCTTTGGATCACAGCCAATTGATTGTCAAAACCAGTACGACCCTATGGTCGGTTGGATATTTTATTTGTCAACCGCACCTCGTTAAATACGCGTGTTTTTTAGCCAGTTTTTTTTACACGCCGTCTGCACATTCTGTCAACAAGAGAACGGCGCCGCATTTCTCCAGAGAATAGGTTCATGGATAGGGTTTATCGAGAAAGCAAAAATTTCCAAATTCATCGTACCTCTCTGAATAACCTACGGAAGCAAAGTTCTTCACCTACTGAGAGCCTCCTTCGCTTCGCATACGGCTGCGATTGCCACCTAGCCGAGAGTACCTAGCAAAAAGAAACGGAACACATTCAAGCTTCCAGTTAAGGAATGCTGTGTGAGCAATATCTGATGGAGTGTTGTTGCAAGCACCATTCTTGCAGACTAGAAACCGAACCACCACCTATACACGTAAGGAATTAAACACTTGACCTAAAGAACTCTATTCAGCAACACAGCGAGAGCCGAGTAATACTGTAGTAGATTCAACATCTAGCTATTCAGACTTCATCCTCACAAACTTAAGTTGCATATGTACTTCCAACGTGCATATGTCTACCTAAACCTACTCAATTAACACTACTTACACTCAAAACTCGAACCATGGACTTCCGAATGTTAATACTCAATGCTAACCACTTGGCTGTTTCGGCTGCCAATATATACTAAATATATACATATTGTTTTTGGCTGCTAAGCACATTTAATTTACACTTATTCTTTTTCTTAAAGGTCGATGTAAATGGTTCTGGCGCATCTCCCCTCTATCAGTACTTGAAGCATAAGCAATCCGGTACCTTGGGCAGCGCCATTAAATGGAATTTCACCAAGTTTCTTGTCAACAAGGATGGCATACCAGTCGACCGCTATGCTCCCACTACAGACCCCATGGATATTGCAAAGGATATTGAAAAGTTACTTTAAGCTTTGATCGTTTGTACCGATGTGAATTATGATTCAAAATCATATAAAATTTACTAATATATAAAATACAAAAAAGAAATATATTTATATATACCTATGTATGTATTTAGCTACAATTAATATGTAACCAGTGCAGATATTTATTTTTGGTTTATGCTATTTCTACTTTATAATTATTGTCAAAGCAGTCAGCTTTAAAAGTTTGTCATTCACTTTCAATTTGTTGAATTGCAAATAAAACTAATTGAAATTTACTTGTAAACAAAATAATACAGATTTATTTTATATTCAAAACACATTTTCCAATATAAACACATTGTAATGGATGTATTCGAGCTGTATGAGTGTGTGTGCGAGTTATGGTTTGGCTTGCGCCCTGGAGCATATTATTCAAACGTTTGCCGCATATTAAACTCCACCACGAATCGATGCATACATATATATATATATGTATGTATGTATGTACATCGGTATATACATACATAAGTATTCAATAAAGTGACGAACATTAACCTTTCACATCAACGTATTGTAATTTATTGAAGGGAATTCAAAAAAATAGCATTTTTTTTTGTGTTTAAGTTTTGTGCATTTTTGAGAGAATTTGCAAAACCGTAAATTTAAATGCAAAAGAATAAGATAAGGAAAATGAAATCAAATAACGGTGACATTGATTTCGCCATGTATTTTAAGGTGAATAAATTTTTGCATACATAAATACTTATCGTAAAGTGGTATAGATATGTACTTCACAGTTATTCTTATTAATTTTATCGGTACAGATGTAAACATTGGTGTATATATAAACCCGTCAGTCCCACAATCCAATATATTATACACACACAGAAACTACCTTGAGCCAGCAACTTTTCAAACCAGATACACCAATTTTCGTACACAAATCTTCTTCTTCACTGGCGTAAACACTGCTTACACCGAACCGAATTAATAACATTGTGCCATTCATTTCTTCTTTTCGTTGTTTGGCGCTAATTGAAGTTACCGGTTGCATCGCAAACTTTCACAGCTGAAACCCTCCTGCGGGTTAGATTCAAGAATTTACCCGCAGTAAAGCATGCCTGTCGTAAGAGGCGACTAATATCCAAGAGTTCCCGCGACAGTGGGATCTTTATATTGGAACGACCCGGATTTTTATTCAACCAAGGACTGTCACTACCGCAACATTCCCCAAAAAGTAATTTGGGCAATATTTTTGCGGTTACAACAACAGCTGGAATATTCCTCTCTATCTAGACCACATGACCTCTCCCGGTCAGCTGCTGTTCCTTGATTCGCTGAACTATATATGTCATTGTCATCATTACATCGTTCCCAACTCATAGACAATTTTTCGCGAGAATATTTCATGCGTCGACTCATCAAATATTGTCATCGTCCATGCCTCCGCACTATATAGCAGGACGCAAATGATGAGCGACTGGTAGAGTTTGGTCTTTGTTCGTTGAGTGAGAACTTTACTCAGTCCAAAGTAGCATCTGTTAGCAAAAGTGATTCCGCGCTGGATTTTCAGGCTGACATTGTTGTTGGTGTTAAAGTTATGACGTTGGGGCCGAGTCGCGAATGCGGTGACTATTTAGACGACAGGAGACATTTCGTCTTGCCGTCGCAGCTTTTCGACGTCGAACATTTCTTCCTTCTTTGCTGCACAGACACATATCACCCCAAAACATTACGAAATGCGCGTGGCACCACCGACTGTCCAGCACTGCCCGAATAATTAAAAGTTGTACTTACTTCAAGGAACGTAATGTAACTACTTGAAATCTTACGACGAACGTCAGGCTATTTCACTCTAGATAATCGGGCAACCAACCACGCAAGATTCATTAAAAACATCCTCCAGGGTGTGCAAAGAAGTTTTCTTCAGTACAACAGTTGGGAAATTCAAAGGTGATCGTCTGTAGTACCAGATTCCGTCATAGATAAATTCACCAAACTACAGTTCTGTTTACGGATCAAAGAACTCTTAACTAAATCAACCATGTTATGTTAGACGTCTCTCGACGAGCAAATTCAAAGCTTTACAAGTCGCTCATCATTCTTCTCTGAAAATATGGTGCAGAATCGCGGACGATGTTGACTTTATATGAAGCGTCACTGAAGAAAGGTTTTGTGCACGATTTATGGTACCCTACTGATGGACGTCGGCCACAATAGCCTAGTGGTTAACATTACGTACCAACATTCGGAAGAACAGGGCTCGAATTCTAGTCCGACCAAGATTCAAAATTGCTCAGGGGCATGGCAGAACAAGAAATTAAAAGCTTCTCATAATAATTCATTGACCGTTCGGCCACTGTTAGAAAAACATCAAGACGCATTTCACAAATTGGTGCAGGAGCACGGCTGAAAATCGCTTTTGCAGCTACAAAGCCCTGCTTATATATGTATACTTAAAGACGACGCAGACACTGAAGTGATGAACTGTATGAGACGACGACAATTACATACAATAGTGCAGAAGTTTACGGGACAGCGGCTGCACTGGCTAGATCGGACAACATGATCTAGCCAGTACAGCTTTTGAAAGTATGCAGTAGCCGTCGATGGATGCAGAGAAAACAAGACCTGCACTCCGTTGGAAACAAGAGATGAAGCGGCACCTAATATCATTTGGTGTCACCCATTAAAGGTTGAGATAAGAAATGAATGGCTGTTGTCAACGCGGCTATATGCCCCAAGGTGTGAGCTATCATGCGCAGCGTCATGGGTGCGCGTTCTGGACAAACTAAAATTCAAAATTATAGTACAAAGTTTTTGTATTTGCGGCCACCTCTCTGAGCAAATATCAACTCCTCCGAATGTATTTACTACTGGCATAAAATAAAAAGGTCGCCGTAAGAATTCATCACGCGTTCGGAGGTAGAGATCCCGCGGTATTAATATTTAATTCAAAATATAATCTTCATGAAATGACTAAGCCTTTGGTATACCAGAGACAACATTTTATTATTTAATTTTTTTCTTTAAAATGGAAATCATTTTTATTTTAAAAAATGCATGCGCTTTATAGCCAGAGGACATACAAACATACATAAATATCACTTTGCAATATGAAAATTCCAAAAGAGAAAATTCCATCGATAAAGTCCAAAATAGTTGTAAACTTTTTTTTTTTTATGCAAGTTCGCACGCCAACTAGTTCTAGTTCAATGTGGCATTATCAAAGCAACTTGTCACAAAATTCGCCAATTTGGATATTACCAAGTTTCATGAAAAACAAAACCAAACCAAAAACACGACATACAGATCGCTACAAGTTGAGCAAAAAATTGACCTTCCGACAATTAACCAAATATGCCAGCGCGTAGCCATTTGTGGGGGCAAATATTTTGCCACAATGCGGCGGCGCGATTTTACCCTTTTTGTAAATGTTCACGCTTCTTCTGTCACCGTTAAGGCGCTCACAACATTGCCAAGCGCGTGCACACACATACTACGTGTACGTAAACGTTTAAGCCCCAAAATAGTAATTAGAATTTCTGTAGCGTTGTAGCGGCAAGCGTGTAGCGCAAGTAGGTGGCGTACCTACACATGCACATACATATGTACATATCATACAACATAAATCAGAGCCAATGCAACGATGCGCTGACAACACGCTCCAATTTGGCGCGCATTGGAGATTCCTTGTGTAGCGCTTGAGGTGACATTCTGATGCGTTGACGCATACACAACCGCCAACGGCGAGCGGCTCAAATGCGTAACTGGGTTAAAAACAAAAAACAATGCATTTCTTCACGACCACGATGAGCGGCATGACTACATGACTACACGACTGCATACATACATATATACGACGGCAATGCGCAGCGCTGAGGTAGCAACATGACGATTGCAACAAATGGATTGCTTAAATGTTGTCACAAGCAGACGTGTGTGTATGTGTGTGTGTGTGTTGGAGCATCATTTAACAACCCCTTATGTGCGCGCAAAGTATGTGTGAATGTATGTAGATATTTGAATTATTTTCTCAAAATATCGTCCGTGCGATATCAGTGTCGTGCAGTAGCCGGCCGGTGTATCACTCGGCTGTCGTTTTGATGACAAGCTACGCAGTCTAACTGGAAGATCCGAATGATTGATGGCGGAGAGTAGTAAGTAAATATTTGTTCGCTGAGCCTATGCACATACCAGCCTATGTGTATGTATATGTATATTTATATATGTAGTTACGTAAATGCATATGTATGTATTGTATAATATAAATTTTTTATTTTGTATTGATTCTCTAAAAACCGATTTAAATCGAATTCCATACGAATTTGTGTATTAACACGTCGAAAATGCCCAAAACAGTTTGTACTTAGCCGGTAAATAGCTTGTAATACACGATTGCACTGCGACACACCATACAACGGCCGATTGCCTATTTTACTACAAGCTCATCGCACAATGCTTAGCATATAAAATAGCTCCGGTCGAAACGATCGAGGTTCACTTAGCTGTGACCAGCAGTATAAATCGGTAACGCATCGGTCAACGGTTGTGAACGGTTCCGACGCATTTGCATTTGTATTTGTAGAGAAGCGAAGAAAAGGGAAACGAAAAAAATTGAAAGTCTCCTGCCGCAAAGGATACAACGATGCGAACGCTTTTTGTGTTGTTGCTGTGCATTGGCGCAGCGTTTGCAGCAACACATGTCAACATCTCGATTGCTCAACATCCTGCCACAAATCCGGCTGATGTCACCTATTTGGAGGGCACCGCACCGGAGGAATTGAAAGCGGGTCCGGCGAAGAAATTGGTGAGCGGTGAGGAGCGTTTCGCCAAGTTGCGTTCAGCTGAGAATAGCGGTGATAGCGTTGCAAACGTGCAAGAAAAAAGTAGTGAAGAGCAAAATGAAGAAGCTGCCAGTTTTAATGGCAGCGCGAAATCAGCACAGCAGGTTCAGCGAAATTTGGAACAGTCGAACGGCTTTCAACAGCAGCAACAGCAGCAGCAGCAGCAACAACAACAGCAACGATTTTATAGTCGTATACGTCAACCGAGCCGTCAGAGTCAATTCCGTCAAGCCACTGCTCAGGATAAGCAAAATCAGGAGTTTGAACGTTACATACAAAACTATCACAGCAGCCCGACCGTGGAAACGGTAAGTAGTTAAGAGTGTATGCTATCGCTGTTGTTGTTATTTGTAGAATCGGATGAACCAAAGCATTTCCCAGAAATCTCATGGTGTAGGAGTCAGACGTGACTTAAGTCCTGCCACCAATCCAATCACATACAGTAAATTTGAAATTTACAACAACTAACGAGTTATACTTGGTACGTACAAAAGGATTCCTATCATCTATCTATTGTCTGGTGACTTCAAGGAATGTTCAATGCACGAAAGCTCACCAGCGCGGTATTCCGTGTTGTTTCGGCGCACAATGAGTCTGGTGGAGAAGGCACTTCTTAGCTTGGTTGAGCCCTGAGTTCGAAAAATTATATTTATAGAGTTAAAAGCGAGTTGAAGGCTGCACACTCCTTCGCTGACACTTGGATCCGTCCGACAAGATATGCCGAAAGCTTTCGCCACCGTTCCAGCTCCCTTTACATAAAGAAGTAGGCCAGGAGTGTGTTATGAGCCGATTGATACACTTAGCGTGCGTAGTCTAGCAGTAAAAATGACGTTACCTGTTGCAGGACTTTCCTTCTCTATCATGACATTCTGTTATCGAAGATAGCCCTGCTAATCGACTAGGAAACACCTTTTTGTAGCTCTTCTTGGCTTCAAGGCATTCTTCCCCTTCAATACTCAACTACAAGTAATACCACAACATCTTTCCTTTCAGGTATTCGAGACCAAGGATAATTCACCATCAGCACGTTATGTATACTCTTCCTCGTCGTCGTCTTCTGCTGGTCCAGCGCGACTTGTTGCTGCCGATACAAAACCTTCACAGCAGCACACTTTTGAAAGGCAGGTTGCACTACCAGCAGCAGTTGCCGCAGCATCGTCAGCCTCCGCACCGGCGGAAGAACAATCGAAATCAGCGCCCGATGCGAAAATTCAAATATCACCCGCACCAGTAGCAGCACAACCAGCTGCACCTGCGCCAGTAGCTGTACCGGTGGCTGCACCAGCTGTCTCGCATTCAGCTGCAGCCGTGGTACCAGCTACTTCGTCGAAGACAGCGACTACAGTGATCAGCGCGAGCAGTGATGGCGGCAAATTAGGTGTGGGTGGTGCATTTGGTGCCAGTTTTGGTGGCGCTGATAGCGGCTCACACGGTGTAAGCTTCAGAGTTGCCGGCGGTGGTGGTGGTGGCGGTGGTTACAGTGTACCAAATTACAATCATTATCCTAGCTACGCGAAACCCGAATATGAACAACCTAGCTATAACTATGATCAAGGCGATGCTGGTGGTTTCTTAAATGAGTATCCACCGTCTGTTGATGAGCATGCTGGTGGTTATGATGGCTTTTATGGTGGTCAAGGACATGAATACCAATCAAATGGTGGTTATTTACCGCCGCAACCAAATGTTTATCAACGCCCAGTCGTGACCAAAACTATACAGATTGCACAACCAGCGCTGAAAGCGAAGAAATTCGAGGTGCGCCATCCTGCCATTCAAAAGGAGTTCTACGATATCGAAGAGCGTGTAGTGATTAAACCGGCTGGTACCATAGTAGTTGAACTGGAGCATCCAGTGGCGAAAATACCGAAAGGCGAAACTGTGCTGCCACTCGGTCATCCTCATCCCGCTATTGCTGCACAATATAATATCAATAGCGATGCAGAAATCGAGACTGAGTCGTCTAGTGCCGGTGCTTATAACAATGGCGCGCGTTCAAACTCGAATCAGGTGTATGCAAGCCCCGTTAGGAAGCATCCAGCCGCAGTTATTAGTGGTTCACATATTGGGTCTACTATTACTGCTACACCAACAAATAACCCAAATGCCAAACGCGATTTTGTGGAAGCAAATCTTCGTAAACAATATGGTGAAGAAGCTCGACTCGTGACCCCAACTGAAGCTGCGCGCAGTGAGCAAAACGCACGCGCTAAAGAATTTTACAGCCCCAACGATGCACGTGACAGCCAGCGTCAAGTTCCTAGTAGGAACTATGCACCCAACACGGTTAGACGCGAAGAAAGCAGTTACCAGCGTCCCGCACGTGTTGAGGTTAAACAGGACGAGGAGATATATCGGCCCACGTTGACCAAGTCGGCCGAAGGACAACAATTACAAAATAAAGCGGCCGAGTTCCAAAATGATGATGGCGATGAATATAACGGCGAATACGTTACTGGTAACTTCTACAATACAGCCAATAGGGACCCCAAGCCCGCACGTTTACAAGAGGCACCAACTGCTAAGAGCGCACGCATCACTGCTGAGCCACAAACTCGTATCATCAAGCATGAACATACAATAAATCTGCCACCTTCTCAACATAACATCTACTTGGCGCCTAGCAGATACGAAGACCGCCCGGTACTTGTATCAGAACAGCGTAAGCAAGTAGCGTCAGCTAAGCAACAGCCTGCTCACTTAGAAGAGGAAATTGCACGCACCACTGAAATTAAACCATTCTTGGATCGTCAACGTGAGGGTGTAGTGGTCTATGCGGTGCCAGCCAGGCGCCAACCACCAGCACAACAACGTTATGTACAGAATGAAAGAAGTGAACGTCGTCAACCACTTCCACAATTCGTACCGCAACAACGCACTTATGGTCAACTGCGATATGATCCCGACTCAGATGTGGATGCAGCAGCAGTAGAGTATAGCCCACCATACTCTCATATGCGTTTCGATCCAAAAGAATCTGCGCGTCTTACCGCTGATGCAGAAGATCAACGCAACTCTGATGAGAAGGCACCACAAAGAACAGTCACAGTGTACTACAATCGTGGACCCGAGTCGAATGGACGTTTAATTTCACAAAACAAGTCAGAGGCCGAGATCGAATCAAAGGAGGCAATTAAAGTACCAGAAGCCAGTGAGGAAGCTAAGTCGACGAGCAATGAACTGCGACCTCTAGCTCACATTCAATTACAAGTACCGAATGGACCACAAGAGGCGGATCAACCCATTCGAGTAATGTCTTCCATTAGTCAACCTATGGAATATAGTAGTCGCTCAGCTCAAACAAAGCAGCCAAAAGCTAAAGAAATAGCCGACGAACAAGTGGAACAAATAAATAACGAACCACTACCTGAAGAAGATGCTCAACAGGAAGATGCCGCACTGCAATCTGAGAACGTTGCATCTCAACCAGATTGCGCTCAGAACGTAGAGAAAGTAAGCGCTCGTTATGAGAATAGTCAACAGTATTACGACGATGATGTGCAATATGAAGAGCCACGTACTAGATCGCAACTAAAATCTCAACGCTTAATAGACACCAGCAACGCAAACGCTAATGGCAAAGAGAACAACAAACCATTAGCCTCCGATGCGGAAAACATCGACACCAGTGGCAAAGATGGTAATCCTCATGTAACGCCACCGGGCTCACGTGTTATCGCCGCTAACCCAGCGCCCCAAGATGCTTCGGCTGCTAGTGAGAGTTTCCACAAACGTCGCATTGTGGTAAATCATCCCTTCCAAACCGTGCGTGAGGTAGTCGAACATGAACCTATCACGAACTATCATCAAATACAGGTACATGAACCCGCATCACCAACGTCTGCCTACAATAAGGCACCCTATTTTGCTCCCAATGGTGCTCTACGTCAAATCGAAACAGTGCGTCTGGGTGTGCCAGTTACATTTCATCATGCGTCCGGCCCTACGCATGGTAATTTAGTTTATACTTTGCCTGATGCGATTCCTGTGCATGAAGACACAGGCGAAGTAGAGCCGAGCTATCAGTCCAGACGTCAACGTGTACGTGCTTAAGTTTAAATGAATTTTCTCACTACGTTTACGGTAAACAGAATTTGGCTATTTGTTGTTGTTATTGTAGTGGTTTTTTTTTTTTGCCATTAATTAAGGATATTATGCTTACAAACATACTCGTATTATTAACCGTATTTCGTTGCGCGATTTTTTTTTTGTACATCTGTAAGAATTTAAGAAGAATTGTAACCCAATCCTTGAAGGTTAAAGGGATAACTTACACTAATGATTGCCAGATAGCGCAAACGCGCTGTCCATATTATAAATATAAGTATCTAAACTCCCCATATATAAGTTGACGAATAAAAGCAAAAAGTGCTATGTGAAAACGAATTTCGGAAAATTTAAATACAATATATTCGAATCATGTTCGAATCGGTGAAAGAGTTTTTGGTGGGCCCCTTGGAGTTCTAAATACAAGAAATTGTTGGTACTAGAAAGCCGAACCGCTGGTGGATTCTTATGAAAGGCTTTTTATTTCATAACAGAATGCGGGGTCAATATTAGGTGCTGGTTAGTCTGAATCCGTTGGCTCGATCCCTCCATGAAGAAGGCTTTTCGCGCACTTATAACCAGGAATTAATAGTACAGTCCGCAAAAACAATTTCGAAAAATTTTATTTTTGATTTTGAATGTAGCTCAGAACAGAATTCGAACCCATGACTCCCAGCAAGTAGTACTCACTGCTAAGCGACCGCCCAAGTTGTACCCAACTGCACTTTTACTGCCTCTACATTGATGATGTTTATTCGTCGTGGAGAGAGGGTAAAGCTATCTGCAGTGAGGCACGTGGTGTAAATAGAAGTTAGTTTTTTATCTCCGAAGACAGGATATCTATTTAAAATTGCCGCAGCTTTTTTATGTTTGGAGAGTCTTGATGGCAGGACTACTGAGAATCCTATTGTTACACAGTGGCGGCTTTTGGCAAGCAGAGTACCTTCAGAAAATCCTGCAGATAAAGTTTAAAGGGGTATTTTGATTGGCCAATCCAGGAAGAATGTTTTTTATTTCGGGTAAAGGAAATATCGGATGGATTTATTCCTTAGATTGACAGCTAAACTGTCATTTAAGCCAGAAAATTGGACATTGAGACATTCATTTTAAAAAAAACCGACTTATTCCTCTTATTTGTAGAAAGAATTCCTACTACGGCGGCTGCAATAGTCGTGGTTAGCTTTGCGTACTGGCATTTGGAAGGATCGAGTTCGTATCCCGGTGCCACCAACATCCAAAGGTTATGGAAAATTAATTTAAATAAAAAACTAAGTTAAATTTTCCCTCCTCGGCAGGGAATGTCCACCCCTCCAAGTATATTTCGGACATGAAATAAATGCTCCTCATAAAAATCCATCAGCCATCAACCATTTATTTTATTGTTTTTTTTTGTCACCTACCCTATCTCCAGGGCGCCATCTGTTGTGATACCATTTGAAACTTTAATAGTTCCGCTATTTTCGACGTACATTAAGACCAGAAAGTTTCTGGAAATTGTCATTTAAGCCGCCTGTGCTGTATATTTTTTACGACTTTTTTTTAGGTTGGTAGCACTGTTCTTAATTACTATGACAAAAATGAACGCGATCTGTCAAACGAGTTTGTTGGCAGCAACTGTTGAAATCAGTCGATCTCAGTTCCCTCTGCGAGTTTTATTTTACGGTCTCAGCCGAGTCAAACTGAGCTCCACGGAGAGGTAACTTGAGTTTTGGAAACAAAAAAAATCGCTTGGAGCAAAATCTGCTGAATTCGGTGGTGGATCGATAGGATTGAACGAACCGTTCACAACTACAACTCGAAACAATGGCGCATTATCTTAATGATAGTTTCCCAAAAATTGTTTGTCCACAATTCCGGCCGCTTACGAAGGATATTTCCGCACAAACACTTCAAAACACTCAAATAATACTCTTTACTGACCGTATGTCCCATTGGAATGAATTCATGACGAACCAAACCGCGAATATCAAAAAAAAAAAACAATTTCCGGAAACTTCCTGGTCTTGATGGTATTGCATATGAATATACTTGCTTGATCGACGCGCCACGTCAGTATATTTTGTTCCATCAATCAACTAAGGCCGATTACTCATATTCCATGGTGATAGTAGTTAGTAAGCAAAACTACCGCTTTTTGAGGTCGGCAGAAATCTTTGTGAGATATTCCATTCAATGATGCTACCCGACCGATGAATGATATCGAAAAGCGGCGATTTCGACTGACCACTGCGCTCACCAGATTTTGCACCGCTGGATATGGCGCTTAAAAAAAAAATGTTTCTCTATGTATTCGCCTAGGCAAAGAACCATCTATATATCTCAAAAACCGGACTATCGAGTCGATTCCAGGCCCACTTCCCCGAAAAAAACGTTCGCCATATTAATTTAGTCCCATAGCTACCTCGGTGCCAAATTTTATGTCAATCAACCGGTGTTGATCCGTCAGTCATTCAGGACAAAATCAAAATCTTAGCTTAATATTCTGACTGTTTGTTTGATAACAGGAAATATTTTATCTTGTACTCGTTCACTACCGGAGCCATTCGCTAAAGTCTAGAGAAAGCAGAACGGCGCGGTTGTTAATGCATTTGATATCAATGTCATCGACATACGCCGGTAGCTGTACCTTGTCTGTTTAACTCTACAGCTCTTATTATTCTCTCCAGCATCAAATTGAAGAAATTACACGATAAAGTTTCACACTGTCTGAAACCTCGTTTTATATCGAACGGCTAGGAGAAATCCTTCCCAATTCTGACCGCGCTTCTGGTGTTGTCTAGCGTCAGTTTACACAGACGTATAAGTTTTGCGGGGATACCAAATTCAGACATAGGGCGTAGAGGCAGTTCCTTTTCATGCTGCTTGAAGGCTGCTTTAAAATCGACGAAAAGGTGGTGGGTGTCGATCCTCTTTTCACGAGTGTTTTCTAAGATTTGTCGCTTGATGAATTTATGGTTAATGGTTGTTTTACCAGGTCTAAAGCCACAACATGATGTTCAATGTTTTGTTCACAGTGGGCATTGGTCTTTCACACAATTCACTCGATAGGACCTTATGTGAGATGTTAAGAATATTTTCCCATGATATTTGGCGCAGACTGTAAGATCGCCGGTTTTGTGGATTGGGCACTTAGTTTCCAATCGCCGGGCATGCTTTCATCTAGCCAAGCAACAAGCTGATGCATGCACTTTGTCAGCTATTCATCGCCATGTGTGAACAGCTCTGCCGGTAGGCCGTCAGCTCCATCCGCTTTGTTGTTCTTTAGGCGGGTCATCGCTATTCGAACTTTGACATGGTCAGGTAGTGGATCGTCTGTTCCATCGTCATCGATGGGGTGTTCGGGTTCACCATCTCCGGGTGTTTCATTTTCACTGCCATTCACAAATTCAGTATACTTTGGGCATCCGTCACTAGATCACCCCTATGGGTCCTACAAGAGCGACTGCAGTTAGAAAAATTACTTTTCTATAATTTTGAATATTGGTCGGACCAGGACTCCGAATTATAGTATGCAATGTTATCCACTCGGCTATTGCGGCCAATTATTGCCAGACTTAATTTCATTCTGTACTGAAACAAAAGTATTTGGAACCATCCGTTTCTCAAAAAAAGTATCGGAATTAGAATTCTCGTTGATAGATATATTTGCATTCAAACTAAGTTTTTATTAAAATTCATTGACAATTTCTTAAAATAAAATTAAAATCATATACAGACATTTAAAATTTTACGAGTATATTAGTTTCCTTATCCTAATAACAATAAATAGTTTTTTAACAACTTAGAGAATATGAAAATCATATTATATGAGTGTAACTGGCAAGAGATAAACAACAAATAAACACAGGCTAAGCAACAAACAATGCCAACTTAATTCATTTATCTCCTCTTCGCCCAACCTGCATTGTGGAAGATTTTATAAATTTCATTACGATCGATTTTATCGGCCTCACGATCAATCACTGCCATCTCTTTGGGCGTCAGAAGCGATTGTTTGGCTAACGCCGCAGCGATACGTGGATTGCTGTAAAAGCGCCGACTCTTCGATAATTCTGGCGGTAAATGCGCCTCCCGCTCGGCATTGGCTATAACAGCTGGATGTGGAGGACCTTCTTGATTAGGCTCAGAGATTGGTTTGAAATCTGGCAGTGGTGTGTTATATTGTAGATACTGGTGTGGCTGATATGGTGGTGGAGCTGATTGGTGGAAATAATATTGAGCGCTGCACGAGATCGTAAAGAGAGAGATGCAAAGCCAAATTGAGCGCATTTTGCTGAAATAAACAAAGGAAAATATATATTTAATATATGTATATATATATTTTAATGTACAAATGTTTTTTTTTATATTTGTATATAATATATATAAAAATTTTTATAAATCAATTCTTAAGTCGATCGTTGATAAAGCTTTCTCATGGAAGCCTACAGAATGTCACGGTCAACATCTTATCTTATCTTACAGTTATTAGCTTATGGGGTTACATGGGCTCATCCTTGTAAAAATCGTTCCACTATTATTATTTCTTGGCGTAGGTTGGTTTGTTGAAGTGGTTGTCGGGCATCAGCTCCCTTAGGGCATTCAACGGTCCTCTACTGAGGATCTTAATGGCCCGCCAATCAAACCTATGTGTGGAGTTTGCAAAAACTGAGTAGTTCCCGCTATTTCGCTCAAGCCACCAAAGGTTGACGTCCCTAGAGACTTCAACCCACTGCTCCAAAGTGTACGTCCAACCTCTCTGCGTGTCTGCCCATTAAATACGCATTGTAAAAAGATCTTTATCGAATAGGTCACGTGACCTTCTTCTGTTCCATTCTGACCATACTGTTCCGGTCAATGAATTTAATGAATAACTAACTCTTCTTTATTGTGCTTACAAGCGGAGAGCGACATACCCAAACTCTGCCATGATGGCAAAAGTGAAAGTGAAGTGATCTTGAAAGCTCCTCCGCCATCTCATTGCCCGTAAGTTAGTGTAACCAGGCAACCGTGCTCGGTGCAAAGAGAACTGCTTAGTCAACACGTTAAGTGATCTGCGGCGGTTCTCTACGGCTTTCGGTTTACTGTTACTGATTCCAGTGCTCTTATCCGAGAAATATGAATACGATATCCTAAAAGCACCACCGAGCTGAGACAATTGACAGCACGCTTTTATTCGGATCTACTTGAATATTTAAGATGTTATTCTCGAGTTTTTGTAGAAATTAATATGGCAATAAAAAAGTATGTTACGGGTAATTGATTTAATACATATGAGGATGGTTTGAAAAGTTTTCAGCCTCACAGAAGCTTAAAACTTGTTTTCTGATTCTTTCTTTTTTTTGAAACGTAACACCTCTATATACTTCTTCTAGCGATTCTTATTTACCAAGGTTGCCTCTTGATTCGATAAAAATCAAGGTCTTCCAAGCATAATTTCTATATGAGGGAAGAAAAAGAAGTCGCTTAAGCCTAGATCTGGTGAATGAGGCGGATGATCAAACAGGCGGGACGGGGCGTTGTCTACTGAGGAAGATAACTTTCTCAGAAGAAAAAAATTGTTCCTCTTTTCAAGTTGTACTGTATTTTTGTTTCGAGCGTATCCAAGTTTCATCAACAGTTATTATTCGGCGCCAAGAAGTGGATTTATTCCATTGGCCCCTCTCGCTTTGTTTTTTCGGACGATTGCTATTTGAACTTCTACATATCAGGCAATAACACATCTGTTCCATCGTCATTGATTGGAGGAGCGGGTTCGCCACCTCCTGGCATTCCATTTCCACTGCTATTCAGCAGGCTGGTGAAGGGTTCCTTCCAAAAATTTCAAGCGTTGCTTTTGCCGACCAGTATCTCGAGCATCACGTATCTCTACCTGCCTCGAGCTATCTATTGTGATTGCAGCCTTTTGACTTCGAATCGTTTTTTGTTGCACAGGATTGTTGGACCTTCCGAGCATCTATAACAACATGATCGATCTAATTTTGAGTTTTAGATTGTTCACAACATTATTGATCCGGAGATTTGTCGCAGACTTTTTTTTTGCCTATCTTGACGTTAGAGTCACTAAGCACAATTTTCACATCGTAACATGTGCAGCGCTCATGTGTATGCTCTCATAAAGATATCCTTATCCATCTTTTTCGTAGGAGCGATTTTATGCGTATTGTGGCGAGGCGTTCATCCATCAAGGTGAATGCCAATACTCGGTGACGGAGTCTTTCTCCCACATTAATATAGCGCGAGTTCATTTGACGAAAAGATGCTGGATCTAGACTTCAGCGATTTTTAAATCGAGTATGTCGAAGTAGCTCTACTGAAGCTCCTTTTAGCCTCGACCCTAGACTCCACACGTGTTGGTTATCACATTTTGCACCAGAGTTACCCACTTTTCTAGGAGGCGAGACGTGGACAAGGCAAAAAATTTAGTGTATTTCTATTTATTAAAATAAATTCATCATATTTTTGAATATATGTACATACGGGTATGTATTTAGTCCATTCGTTTCTGATGTTTGAAATTATGAAAAAATAAAAATTTTTACAAATAAAAATTAAAAAAAATAATTACACTCTTTTAAAGCATTTTTTCCTTTAATATTTTATATTATAAAAAATAGTTTAATTTTAAAAATAAGCTGGAAAATAGTTTTTCAAAGCTTTTAAATACTCATTTTTATATCGATACACTTCGTGCAATATTTTGCATATTTTTGTTTCTGCCAAAGGACAATAACTCAATCAAATTTTATTGAAATTTTTTTTATTTGTCATACGGAGTGAGTTGATATTAGTGATTTCACTTTAACAGCAATAAATTTATTAATATTTTTTCACTACTTTTGTGTATATTTAATCTTATCAGTATTATATCATCGTTAGATGAGTTTGTATATTTTTTAAACGGATAATTTGAAATTTTGAAACTTACAAAATATTTTTGCGCGATATTTTTAATTATAATTTCAGTTTTATATCTTTTTGAAAATTCTCAACACCACTTTGGCATTTCACACTTCCACTACTTTGAACTATTTTTTTATTTTGTTTTTACCGATTACGCCACATACAAGACAAACAACGTTTCAGCTGCAACTGATTTTAGAATAACAGCGAAACGATCTTTTATGTTGACTGAATTTGAATGTTAAGCACAAAGCAAACTCTAAACTTAAAGTAAACAAAAAAAAAAAAACAAATAAAAAAATAAAATTAAAAAAAAACATTTTTAGAAAAGTATTGAACAAACTTAAGTGTATAGAAAGAACACAACAATAAATTAAAACAGCGAACGCTTTTAGTGTTTTTAGCGCGACGCGAATGAATAAAGAAAGAAAAAAAAACAATAAATAAAACAAAAGCAGTAAATGAATGCTTTTGCGCATGCCCCTGTGCAACAGTCAATGAACAGCAGACACCATCAACAACAGCAACAGTAAAGGCAACATTAACTATTGTACTACACACAGAGGCAATGGGGACTAACAACATTTTCAACACTGCAAATTAGTAGCCACAGAGGCGGCAACAGTCGATCATCAGGTAGCAATTCTATGAGGGAACTTGAAATTTTAATTATGCATACATTAGTTATTAAAGTATGTGTGTGCGTGTGTGTGTGTGTGTGTATGTATGTGTGCATATGTTTATGTTGTAGTTGGCGGATGACGACCCAGAGAAGTGAATGCAATGCCTTATGGGGATATAATATGACATTTGAATGTATATTTGAATTGTAACTCCAAAGCCAGAGAGGAGAGGTAATAATGAACTAAGACACAAGTAAGCAGCTTTATTTACATGCACACGAGTGTATACATACAGTTGCTGTCGATTTGCTTGGACATTTTAAGCTTCAAACGTGATCTCGTTGATCTTGAATTCGTTCTTAAATATACGATACATAACTACATCCTTATGAGCGTATTTAACAATTTTACATAAGATATAATATAATATTTTGTGCAATGTGAGCAATTGGAGTTACATACATACATAGTTGTATGTACATAGATGTGTATATAGGTTTCGTCATAAGCATATTCATAAAAATCATTTTTTCTTTTATATAAATTACAAAAATTATTATTTTTTTCGCTGCCTCACTCTCTCTATGTGATTGACATCCTTCTATATGTATATCTGTATATCTCTCATTGATTAAATCTGAGAGATTGTGCAAGCAATTAAATGCAGTCAGCTGATCGGCAGCTGTTACAGATTTAGAAGCAATTAGTGGCTTAAATGCAGACACATATAAGTAATTGCTAATAGTCAATAGTAAGCATACATATGTACAGACATACGAAATATTCACACATGATTTAAAAAAAAAAAAAAATAACCTCTATTAATTACTACAATTATTTTTGTATCAAACAGATGGCGATTTGCAAAAAAATATATATGGCTCAAGTTCAACCATACCCTTAATTCTAACAAATATATATTACATATGTATGTATGTACATATATTTGAGTGGAGTAAAAAATCAATAAAACCTTGACTCATATTCGATATGAATTGTCACCGAGTTGATAGATGTTGCTTAACTATACATGTACGCGTATGTATGTATGTACTGTAGTAGATTTAGTTTAGATTTAACATCATAATCAATACTTATGTAGATTTAAATAAATATATAGATATTCTCAAATGCGTTCTGAGTTCGCTTTTTGTTGATTAAAAACTTGATATTTCTGTTTCTATTCTTAGACTATGCACTGCGTTAGAAAATATTATAATATATTTATATGATAAAAATTAATAATAATCAAAAGGCGTGTAATTAATTAATGGCACTCCCGTTTGAAAAAGACGACACCTGCTGAAGACCTGAGCTGAGCTGATGTGTATCCAGAACCAATTTAAATCTTCAACAGACAGCAGAAGGAAGTACTTGAAAACATCTAGCGTCTAAATAGATTCATCGACGGTGCTTTGGAGATTGATAAATGCTGGACTTGTAGGAGAACATCCCTCAAAAATGTCAAAAACGATACTGATGTGGCAAAATTCATGAAAACTATACTGTCGAGCACTAGAAGAATGTGATATTTTAGGATGAAACGGAGTTTATCCTCTTTGAATCAGATGGTATCCATCTCACGCAGATTTGGCAAAAAGTACTCAAATGATTGCATACTGCCTATTGTCAGATAGTCAGGTGGTAGAATGGTGTTGGGTTGCTTCACCTATGACAGAACTAAATAATTGACTCTTATTGATGGTCGGGTGAAAGGAGACTTCTACTTTAATTCTAAAGGAGCATTTAGTACTAGTTATTGAAAAGCAGTATTCTCCAAGGACGGATGTTTTAGTTCATGATGATTTGGTACCATGTCGCCGTAGGTAAGTTATGTTTTTTTTTTTAAATCTCACAAGTATTTTGTTTAAACTCTCCAATCGGAACGGTAATAGACCAGACTTAAATCCAATTGAGAACCTCTGGGCTGTTGTAAAGAAGCAGGTAGCCGATAAAAGTCCGAAAAACAAAACTGACCTGGACAACATTATCGTTGCAAAACCTGGTTACATCAATGCCGCGAATAATTCGAATAATAACATTTATATAATAATAAATTATGTAATTCATTATGTTTCATGACGAATTAGTTAGTTGTAATATAATGTGCTAAAAAAAAAACAAAAATATGAAGATATTAACTGCGCTAAACCGAGATTGATCGCGAAAGGTTGCGGTTACATTTGCCTCTTACACTGCTATAAATTACATAGCATACGTAGGTTTTAATACAGGAAAACGAGTCAGAGGATTCTATTCAGGTCGGATGAGTCTTAAACTTGCAGCACAAACATCTAAAAGGGTCGTGCATTTCAAAGTTTGTTTTGCATGAACACAAAGAAGGGGGTCCAAAGTGTCTAGATGATCTTAAAGGGATAGTAAATTTAAGCACGTCAAGTAGGACTGGGCTGCTGATAACTCTTCTTATGAATTTAGCTAAAAATGAAACTCTCGGCATCTCACGACGACTATGGAGAGTAGTCAGGTTGATTAGCCGCAACGACTTTTGTACGGAGGAAAATTCTAAATCACATCCTAGTTTAATTTACAAAAGTTCTTTATCTTCAATAGTGCGAATTTTTTCAAAGTTTCCCAACATTTTAAGAAAGCTCTAAAAACACTTATGTAGCGAATTTCAAGTAAATCGAACAAAGCATACACATTTTTCCGAATAGTGCGGTCTCTGGCCGACTTCTCGAAGGAAATAGTAGTATTCCTGTTAATCTAACCAAAAGCCACGACGAAAACTTTTGGAGATTTGCGGTTCTTTACAAACGAACATACGATTTTTATATAATATGTATATGTATATTAAATATTTAGATTTTACAACATTTTTTTTTTATACACAATTCATTTATTTACTGGATTTGCTTTAATATAAGCCTAACAGTAAATGTACAAATCTTAAAAATTAAATTACAAACATGATAGCTCGAGCTATGTAACTTTGAGCCCTTTTCAAAGTACTGCGCTCTCCTTAGAAAGCGGAAACATCTCTTCGCTGCAGGCGGGAATTCCGTGATGGGTGTTGCCTAAAGCATTTGCTAGCGGATTGGGATGATTTCTCAGCTTTGTGAAGTACTTCGTCCTGCTTCTTTCAATTTCAGACTTAACCAGATTTTACAATATGGCCTCCGATAAATAGTAATTTTTAGATTATACAACTTAAGCGCTTCACGTCTGAATAAAAGGTCACCGCATTTGTATAGCTTTTTTTTGTAAATATGAATTAATTAAACATGATCAATAAACCTTGAATGGGCAAACCGCATTACATTGCTAAGGCAAAAAACAAAAACTCTAAAATTTTCGAAGCCATTCATTTGTCATATGGGTACGTTTCTTCAGACAAAAAAAAGGTAGTAGAAAAAGTGGCACTGTAAGGTATAAAAGTTTAAAAGGTCTATCATAAATTCATTTACCTACACGTGTGTATAGAGCACAGCTGCAAAACGGAAGCGTGAACGCGCGCATTACATTCCCAGACAATTGGCAAGAGCCGGACGAGGTACATGGATACATTTATTGTACTTACCTATTCACTTATCTGCTTACATGTATTTCAGCGAGAAAACGAACATACAAAATCATAAAGTGTTGGCATTTAAGCTACTTCATAGTTTAATCACTTGATATTTGATTAACCATGAACTTTAAAATAATATCCACAACAAAAGTTAATGTACGCAAGCGCGCTTTCTAGCTTAACTCTACAAGCACACATACATATACGAGTATATGCATATACGAAGTGCTTGGCTGTGAAGCGAGTTGAATTTTCCAAATTTTTTTATTTTTTTTTGCCTTATGGCGGGTGTGCCCGGAGCAAATTACATTTAAATCTATGAACTTTTGTGAACTTCGTTGTTAAATGCAACTTTTGACGTATGTATACTGTTAACAATGCTACTTAATATCTGCAAAAGTATACATATAAACAAATTAGACATTAAGCATAAACAGTATTATTTTATATGATTGTATATATGTATGTATGTATATAATTATATATTACGGTCATCTGTGAATTCGAACTTCATTTAAAATCATTGCCAAGGTCTTTTTAATTTGTTAACATAACAATGAGTGTTTGTACGAGTATGTGCTTTTATGCACGTATGCAAAACGTTACTAGTTTTTATAGCGCTAAAAGTCGATTGATCTCTTTATGTTCTTGCTTTATTGAAAACAACTGGTTCCGGCTTAAAGTGTGCTAGAGGTTTAAAAGTTCTGAAAAAGTTTTCTTAAGAAAAAACTATAATTCGTTTTCCCCTGATTACTTCTCTGCATTTTTTGTTTACAATAATAGTGGTGAAGGAAAAAGTAATCCATTAGCTCCTAGGCACTGGAAGCAGTGCTTTAATGGTGGTCGGACCCGACAATGTACATGATTTCATCGACATTTTCGACAATTTGCCTTCCATTTTATATCGAAATTACCTGAATGAAACCGAAATTATGTATTATTGGCTGTAATGGTATTAGAACCACGCGTTTTCGCTCAAATCGAAGAAAATCTGTAAAATATTTCTTTGATGGACACTCAAATCA